GCATAAACTTTTGTACATCCCTCTTCTAAGAATTCCAATTGAATAGCCAGCTCAGGGCAATATGATACTATAAACACCAGCACATATCAGTCTCTGGTGTTTATAGCTTCAGAGCAAACAAAACACATCATTCATAACAGTAACAGCTCGCAATAGCCACAGGAACGTTGCTGCAAGACAGGCATATGTAACGACGACTTAGCGCTCTTAAACGCGTGTGTCATTAAATACAGTCCTCCTGACAACAGGCCAGTGAAAAATCTAACAATCTACAGCAAAACCATCAATTATTATGGGCGTTATAACATACGTGTGCAGCTGGACGAAACATACACGTCGAACCCCCCCAGACGATTTAAATCCCTGACGAAACATACACGACGAACCACGGCAACGGGTTAATGATGAATCATTACAAAATGAATGCCAATATGTAATGTTAACAGAACTGTAGAAGTATATGGTTAGAAGTACTGAGGGAAAGAGAAGAAGGGACAGAAAATACAAAGAACGGTAACTAAAACTGAAAGGAGGGGGCCACGCCATAGCTCAAGTGGTTAGTCGCTGGCTTTCCACTGCGGCGGCCCAGGTTTGATCCCGGGTCTGGTCAAGTGGGATTTGTGGTGGACAAAGTGGCACTGGGGCAGGTTTTCTCCAAGTACTTCGGTTTCCCCTGCCAATCTTCATTCCATCAGTTGCTCCACAATCACCCTCACCTATCATCTGGGGCTGGTACAATGGGACAGAAGTGGCCGTAGTACAAGGGACTTAGTCCCACCCCACTAGCAATAAAAAAAAAACCGAAAGGAAGTCAAAAAACTAAAACTATGTCCATTGTAAATTGAAGAAACAGCTAAAATCATCTCCAAAACGTTGTGTTTTATGAGGTGGTATTGGAAAATTTCCAGACTGTTGTTGTTGTGCCTCAGTGAGAGAGGATGAAAGGGCAAGCCAAGATCACACTTCCACGAGTCTATTGCATCAGTCTGCCATTTGACACCGTGCTGTAAACATACACTGTTTTTATATGAGTGCTTTTTTGACTTCATGTTTCATTCTGTCTGCCATGGATGGCAAAATCAAGCAATGTATCTGCACCAAATTTTCTGTGAACTTCAGTAAATCCACTACCAAAACCCCTGAAATGCTTTGAGAGGCTTTTGGAGAACATTCTTTAAGCTGGACAGCAGTTCTTGAATGGCCTTAAAGTTTCAAGGCTGGCTGAGTGTCAGCTGAAGATGACAAACATTCAGGGCGTTGAAGCACCAGTAAAACGACAGAAAATACTGAAAAAATTTGAAAATTCATCAAATAAGACTATCGCTGAACAACTTACGAGCTCGCAGACACCACTTGGATCAGTTATGGAGTTTGCCAGGAGATCTTAACAGAAAATTTGAACATTCATCACACTACTCCTTCATCATGACAACACGCCTTGCCCATGCGTCCCTGAAAACCACAGAGTTTGTGACTAACAACAATATGGTTATCGTTCCCCATCCTCCATACTCAGTGGACTTAGCCCCCTGTGATTTTGCTTCCTTTCACAAATTGAAAATGAAACTGAAGGGATGACTTTTTGAAACAATGTCTGACATCCAAAGGGAATCGAAAGTGGTAACTGACAGCATTAAGGAAAATGAATTCCACGGTGTATTTGAACCTTGGAAAAAATGATAGGATCTCTGCATACGTTCCCAAGGAAACTATTTTGAAGGAGATAGCAGCCAAAATTGAGTAAGTTCAGCCAGCATTTCCTTTTTGACATAGTCTGGAAACTTTCTGATACACCTCATAAATAGAAACAGTATGATGGATAATGTGCAGAAACATAAATTTGTATGAAATGAAAAAGGTTACTCAGAACAAGATGCTTGAACTAGATTGTGGCAGATATCAAGAATAGATAAAATAGCTGGCAATAAGGTGAAAAGGAAAAACTGCAAGTAGAAAGAAGAGATTGGAGACTCATAAGACAGTCAAATATAAGCTTTACCTTGGGGAAAGAACGAGAATCACGGTAATACAGGACCTCAAGGCACTTGACGAGCAACTTCTGTGCCGCATCCTTTGTCATAATGGGATTCCTTTCAACTTCCTCCCTCATCAGGGGTAGTGCCATATATGCTCCATAGCCTGTAGCAATGTGGCGGTCTACATATGCTGTTCCAAGCTTGTCAACTGTCCCTAGGAACCTTAAAACAAGAGTAGATACTACATCAGAATCAGAAATGTTATAAAAGCAATATCCTGACTCACCAGTTCCCACAAAGTTGTGTGTATCCAAGTTTGTGAAAAAGTGGTGGGCCACAGGTTCAGTGTGTGACATAAAGAAACAATCAAAGAGGATTGTACTGACTGAAAAATGGATTCGGGATATTCAGGCATGACTATAGATCAGCCCTAGAAAACTGTTAGAACGTTTAGCACAGGAAACCAGTGTTTCACAAAATACTTTCAAATTCAGGGACTTAATTTAAACTACTATTAATAATATGTGTTTATCCAAAACTCTTAACACTTACGGCTCATCATCCTGCAAACCACCAACGATGAAATTATTCCAAAACGGATCAAATTTAGAACGTCGATTGTACATAACCCTAGTTAGCCAGCAATGCAAAGCCTTTGGTTTTATTGAGAACCCATCATCTAAGCACTCTTCTTCAAGACTGAAATGAAGCACAAACTTGTATTTAACACAGAAGTAATTTTACGATAAACACAATTTTTGAACATGTTGTGTACATGTTAGATTTAGATACGTACATTTTCTGCTCTATAACATCTTTCAGATATTGGTAATCTGCATAATCTCCACCAGCACCAAGTATTATGTTGTCATTGACATGCATTATTCGGGGGCAGTTTCGAAATCTCGCCAAAGACCCATATGAGCCAAGAATATCTGCGGCGATTGCAACACCTCCCTCAAATGTTATTCCAAGTACAGACGTTCCTGTCGTAATTGGTGCTCTGGAAGTTTCAAACAAAACATACAAATTATGCACTAAACGTAGGGTACTTGGCAATGGATGACATGCAATATTTGTAACACCGCCTTATGCTACAATAATAAAAAAAACATGCTCTTACTGTGATCTCTGGGCGAAATATGTGTTCTGATCAGCCAAACCATCTGAAAGATTGAATAAGCATGATGCAGAAGGTCCATTCTGCCATAATCGCGCTGGTATACACAAACTACCACTCACTACAGACGCCATGTTCCAATTTTGTTCCGTTTCCAGATTTCCTCACTCTGTTTCAATATTATCAAAATCATATTTAATTAAGTAGTAAATATATATAAATGAATGCTAACCTACTCATCACATTTATAAAAAAATATGTATGGATAAATCATCTATTTACTTGTTATGTTGGGACAAATCTGTGTGACAGATGATTAACAAAGAGAAATTTGATCCCGGAATTGTTATCACGGCCACAATGCGTTAGTTATGCATCGAGACATCGAGACGATCGAAACAAATCGATGTGAATTATTTCAATTAATGGAATCATGGGAGGCGTAATATTTGGTATTTAATCACATGTTGTGATGATTAACTCATTGTATTTTTTCGTCTACAAAATACTTTTTTAGTAAACAGGTCAGTTTGACGTATTATACAATATTTGTTAATTGTGTGTTATCTAAATTGTGTGTTCTAATGCAGTTACGGATTTACTTCCAGATTTTGATAGTTCTAACCTCCACCGGTTAGTTTAGTACTTGAATTCCTAAAATTTTGAGGCTTCATTCTTCGCATCCTTTTTTTTTCAGGCCTATAAGCGTGCCTCTCATTTTTCTACAACTCTTTTCGAATATGATAAGACCAAATCGTTTAATTGGTCTGTGCTGTGGACATCACATACCCAAGAAAAGATTGTTGCATGGAAGTAGATGTATGCAGAATAATCAGACAAGTTCAAATTACTCGATTGAGGCAAATATTAGAACCACATCCACTGGGCTGGTGTCGCAAAAGCTGAAAGTTCCATCCTTCAAGAAACCAGAAAATCCAGAAGTGAATGAAGGAAAAGAATTCGAAGGATTTGTAGTGCAGGAAGTGAGTGAGATTCCTGAGTTCCGTCTCTGGGCATACCGTTTACATCATCGTGCGACTGGGGCACAGTATCTCCACATCCAGCGTGATGATACAAATAATGCATTTTCTGTTGGTTTTCGTACAACCCCAAATAACTCGACAGGCTTGCCACACATTCTAGAACATACTACACTATGTGGAAGCTTGTGCTTTCCTTGTCGTGATCCTTTTTTTAAAATGTTGAATCGATCTTTGGCAACATTCATGAATGCTATGACAGGTCCAGACTACACCATATATCCATTTGCAACTCAGAACGTTCAAGATTACAGGAACCTGATGTCAGTTTATCTGGATGCTGTGTTCAATCCACAGTTAAGGGAGTCTGATTTTCGGCAGGAAGGTTGGAGATTAGAACACGAAAACCTGAATGACCCCACATCCCCAATAATCATCAAAGGCGTAGTATTTAATGAGATGAAAGGCGTTTTCTCGGAGAATCAGTCTCTGTTTGAACAGAAGCTTTTAAACAACATCCTTCCTGGGCATACATATGGTTTTGTTTCTGGGGGAGACCCTCTTGTCATTCCTAACCTCACATATAATGATCTGAAAGCATTCCATGCTCAGTACTATTGCCCTAGTAATTCACGATTCTATTCATATGGAAATTTTCCTTTCGTTGGCCATCTGAAATATATTAATGACAATTATCTGTCTAATTTTAAAAATACCCCGCCTAAAGATGGTAGGAACACTTCAGTTCCTTCCGAAAATAGATGGTCTGCAGAGAGACACAAACACATAACTTGCCGACCTGACCACATGGCTGCTGATCTTACAAAGCAGTCAACCATTGCCATCAGTGTACTATGCTCTGATATCACGGACATCCAAGAAACATTTGAACTTCAGGTTCTCTCACAACTGTTGGTACAAGGACCAAATTCTGCATTCTACAAGACTTTAGTTGAGCCAAATATTGGAGCAGGATTTGCTCCTGTGACTGGCTATGAGTCACAGACTAAAGACACTATTTTCACTGTGGGCCTTCAAGGAGTAAATCCAAAGGATTTTGGTGAAGTCTTGAAGCGTTATGATGAAACTTTAACAAAAGTGTTGAATGAGGGATTTGATGAGAAGCATATAGAGGGAGTGCTGCATGGCATTGAATTGAACATAAAGCATCAGTCAGCCGACTTTGGTCTTGGATTGCTGTTTGGACTCAGTTCGCTATGGAATCATGATGGAGATTTGGTGAAAGCACTGAAGGTAGAAGATCAGATATATTTGCTGAGACGCAGCTTGAAAGACAATCCACAACACCTTCAGGATAAAGTGTTGAAGTATATGAAAGAAAATACTCATAGACTCATACTTACAATGACACCAGATGAGGACTATGAAGCAAAGCAAGCCCAGGCTGAGCAGGAGCTTCTACAGACAAAGTTGGCTGCATTGTCACAGCAGGAGAGGGCAGTACTGTTTCAGCAAGCTTTGAAACTGCGCGATGAACAAGAGAAAGCTGAAGACACTTCAAGTCTTCCAACATTACTTATGAAAGATTTGAAAAAAGAAATTGACTTAACATCTGTAAAAGATGTAGATGTCTCCTCCATACCTATTCAAGTGTGTGTTCAACCCACAAATGGCATGACATATTTCAGAGGAATTGTGAACATTAAAGAGCTAAACAGTGAACTGAAGACACTTGTTCCCCTATTCTGTCAAGTTGCCACAAAGATGGGAACCCAGAGGCACAGCTACCGGGAACTAGATCAGCTTGTTCAGCTAAAGACAGGAGGAGTCTCTCTCAGCGGCCATATTGCTGATGACACCATGGAAACATTTTCATATGAAGAAGGAATATTATTTGCTTCCTATTGCCTGGATAGAAATGTGAAGGATATGTTCATGTTGTGGTCAGAACTGTTGAATGAAGGCTCTTTTAGTGATATGAAGAGGTTTGAGACTTTGGTTCGTGTGACTGCTGCTGATCTCATCAATGGGATTGCTGATATGGGGCAGCATTATGCCATCTCCAGTGCTGCAAGTCTTGTGAATCCGGCCTCATATAGGAAGGAGCTTGCTTCAGGCCTCAGTTATGTGGGGAAAATGAAAGAGATAGCTCAGATGTCAGACTTGACCCCTGTACTGGCACAGATAAGGCAGATTTCAGAGACCGTGTTTAACAAAAAGCATTTACGCTGTGCAGTAAACTTGAGCTCAGATACCGAAAATGCTGTGTTGAAGGAAATGGAGGTGTTTCTAGGTTCGCTACAAGGGACAGCAGGCTTACCTTTGCTAAAAACTCAGGATCCTAACTACTATCTTGAGAAATCAGCTGTACGAGGTTTCCACCATATCCTTCCAATCCCTGTCAACTTTGCAGCTAAATCCCTATCCACTGTCTACTACTGCCATTCACATTTTCCCTCATTGCGAATCATGGCCAGACTCATCACATCCAAGTTTCTACATCCGCACATCCGAGAAAAAGGTGGAGCTTATGGTTCAGGACTCTCTCTGTCTCCATCTGGTGTTCTGAATTTTTATTCATATCGAGATCCAAACTCTGCTGCAACTTTTGACATATTTGATCAAGCCAGTGAATGGGTCTCACAAAACTCATTTACTGACAAGGACATAGAGGAGGCCAAACTGGGTGTGTTCCAGACTGTTGATGCTCCGATACCACCTGGCTCAAAAGGAATGAATAAATTTCTATATGGTATTCATGACTTTTTACTGCAGATGCATCGATCTGCATTAATGTCTGTAACACGACAGGACATTATAGAAGTGGCAGAGACATACCTAGGACAGAAAAGTCAGTCAAAATGTGGACGTGCTCTTCTAGGTCCTAAGAACGAAGTGTTGCATCTGAGGAAAGCAGAAAACTGGGAATTTCTTCAGCAGGATATATAGATTTCTTAATAATAGTTTGAGATAATTATATGGTTGTAACATGCTGGAGTGTTATTGTGTGTATAGAGGACCTCAAACTTCATACTGTCAATGCAAGCAGAATATGAATTCATGTCTACAGGCTCCTTGTCAATCAGAAATTTTTATTTGTAATTGTGAGATGTAGTATGTGCCTTCCCATATTTCATGTGTATATTTGTGCCATGCTTTTAGGCAGCCTTTACCCAGAAAGTGGCATGTCTCTAGTTCTGTCATGTGACGCGTATTTTCAGTGAAGAGAGTTTGATATTTAGTGTCCTAGTCAAAGTAGGAACTTGTACAATCATTTTGGACTATTTCAGTCAGTCAGATTGCCACTTAATGTGAAGGTATAAATTAATTTTTCTGTTTAATGTTCCACTATATGTACAGTGCTAGATTTATCATGCATTAGTTATAGTATGTGGTCTGTGGGGTAAACAGTAAATACTTGTCCAACATGAATTTGCTTATGCCTGCAAAACAAGTGCAAATAATTATTTACTCAACATGGTTGTGTATTTAATGTGCTATTCTTGAGATACCTAGCTACCACACTGGATTAGGGTTTACTACAATCATTTGTGATACAATATGAAAAATTTAAGGATAGGCTGTCTGTATGGAAACAGGTGTACACCCTTCTGGTGTTCTAGTACATGACATTTTGTTTTGCATCAGTTTAACTAGTGGGCAGATTATATCCTCCAGAATACACTAGATATGAGGTTGGATTTGATTTAGAATACTTCTGAACATTTGAGGTTCTCACATCAATAAAATTTTCATCTCCAGCCTGGTGTGTTAGGGCTAAGTGAAAACTGCCCTTTTCAAAACCTTTCTTCCTCATTCTTCCAATCCTTCCCCCTGCTTTATATTTTTTCTATTTTATTCTATCTTTCCCTCTTCAACTACATGCTCTCTTCCTTCCACATTTTCTTAACTTTTCCTTCCTTTGACTCTGTCCTAACAAAAAGTGCCTTTTGCATTGCCACAGGTTCCTCTCTGCTTCTCCCTTCTGCCCCTTCTTCAATCTTCCCTTAACATAAGCCCTTTAAATACAGCCCCTTTGTTAATGCTTCTTACTTATATTTTCCTGTTCAATCTATGGTCAATTTTAGAGCCAGTGTTTTTTTTTTTACTGTTTTTTATATTTTGCCATATATATTTTTCTTTTATTTTATTTCTTTTTTTCCTTCTATACTTCTTAATTGTTTCCCCTTGACGTCTGTCTTCTGTAGCACACCACTTGTTAGAACCACCACCTCCTATTGATTACTAACGGTCCTGGTCATGACCCACCATTCTCTAGGTTTGAACTACTTTTTCCAGTGTTATGCTTACTCTTCTACCCAAAGATGGAGGCAGCAGATACTTCCAAAATGTTGGTATTTGTGTGTCATTCTACACAATGTCACATTCCAGAAGATTGTAATCTTCATTCTCAACATGTAGGAGTATGAGTTTTGGCCATCTAGACAAATGTTAATATTTATGATTATTGGTAATTGTAAATCCAGATAGTAGCAATAAATAAACTATTCTGTGCCAGAAATCTGTATACTGTGTTAAGATTTTATGGTGCATTAATGCTTTTATCTTTGGATAGAGCTTGTCAAAAATTGTAAATTAATAATTGCATGAAGTACTGATTATTTTTCTGCATAATTTCCACTTTTATAAATTCTTACAACATTTTCTTGACCTCAGCACTAGTTGGAGGTGAGTGGTCAGCTTCATGCCCCTGCTGCTTTACCCCCTGTACCCGTTGGATAGGAGGCTGGATGGGCCCCAAAGCCAGTCAAGACGACATGGAGACTACAAAAGTCTTGACCCTATTGGGATTTGAACTCTTGACCCCTCAGTTGCCCAGCTCATAGCTAGTCATTATACTGACTGCACTGTCCTGGAATAGTGAAGAGGAATTCTTGAAATTATAGGGCAAAACATGTGTCACCACAGTGTTCCTCTTTAAACACAAAAGTACTTGGGTTTCTACAGAGCTCTAAAAATCCTAAGTGTGATGAAACATTCCCCCACACACCTTCGGGGTGAACTGCTTAATGAGTTAAGGAGGGACAACTTTATCTTTTACCTTATAAATTCTCACAGTGACAGTTGTCAGACACAAATGCAAAATTCTCATCCATTGCCATATTTGTAACTGTAAAGGTAAAATGCTTCATATAAAATTTATAGACAAGTTTACAAGAGTTCCTTCTTAGCAAAACTTGCATATTTCACAGGCCTGCCTCCAAATGTAATACTGGGGCCTTAAATTAAATGGAACTTGTGTTTGCAACAGAGAAGTTTGTATGGCCATTGTTTGATATAATTTGGAATTGTATTAATTATATATCTTCATAACTTGTACTCTTCTCCAAGTATAATTAGAATGATCAAGTCAAGGAGGATGAGGTTGGCAGGTCATGTAGCACGAATGGGGGAGACGAATCCTTATAGGATATTGGTGGGAAACCCAGAAAGAAAGAGACCACAGGGAAGACCAAGGTGTAGGTGGGTGGACAATATTAGAGTGGATCTTAGAGAGATAGGATGGGGTGGTATGGATTGGATTGATCTGGCTCAGGATAGGGACCAGTGGAGGGCTCTTGTGAACATGGTGATGAAGCTTCGGGTTCCATAAAATGCTGGGAAATTCTTGAGTAGCTACAGAATTGGCAGGTCCTCCAGAAGGGCTCAGCTCCATGAGTAAGTAAGTAATTAAATATATATGTTAATGATATACCAAATTTAATGATCATTCATTCAACGATTTAGAAGTTATTGGGTGCTACACATGTGCAAGTATAGACACATATAAAGACATTGTGAGACCATAAGCCTGTAAATTGTAAGAAATAAGGAAAACAGACAAATACACCTTTGGAATCAGATTAAATGGTGCATTTTGATTATGTGCACATCTTTTGCAATCTGTATGGCAGTGTGAGCAGTTTTGAGGTTGTATGTTTAATAGGTAATAATATGTACAGGTAAGTGACTTTCTGAATAAGACAGCACTAAATGGAGGCACATTGCCACTTCACCCATATAGCCTGTGTCCAATTAGATGAATAATAATAATAATATAGTGTACTGTCACCCAGTGCACCTAGGAAATGTAACTGTTAAAAGAGGAGAATGCAGTGAAAATAAACAGAGAAAGATGGATAAAATTAATAAGATCAAACTGAGATAGTGTCCATGTTTTTAGACCTTGTTATTCTCAAAAGAATGCACAGTGGGTTTGGGTCAGTACGCTAACTGAGGTGAGCTTTATGGGGTGTGTATTGTAGTAGTTCTCAACCTTTCAAAGGTTGTGGCACATTTGGCATGTTCATGTCTTTTTGCTTCAGACCCAATTTAGTATAGAAAATTAAAATTTATAATGAAATTACACGTATTTTTAAACAATGCCATTTATTGTAAAATATAAAATTTTGTTATAAATAGCAATTTAAAAATTTTATGCAAATGCATATTTTATTTTATATGGTCGTTTTGAAGAGAGTTCCACAGTGCACTTTGCAAAATTTATACCCCCCCCCCCCCCNCAGCTGAGAACCACTTTTGTATCAGTTAGTCAAGGGGTCACTTATACCCTGTCACTCCCCTCTCTACCCCTTTCCCATAGTGCAACTGGAACAACTGTCCTGCTGCTTCTGACTACATTTTTCCTCATGAACAACAAAGAGGTCAAGTCTAAAAATGGTCATTGTACGAGTATGTATATTTAACACCCCATGTTATTATATGGTATAAGTTGCAGGTAAGAAGTAAATGAATAGTGTGACAAGAGGTTTCAAAATGCAGAAGCAAGGAATACAAGCCTAATTGAGTCTAATGATAATGTGACTGGTGACGTGAAAGATTGTGGATATGAACATTTTTAACTGTGTGAACAAACTACAGGCAATTGTGAGGTGAATAGCACTGAAAATTTAATATCATACTTAGAGACATCTAAAATGTAATCTCTGTTAAAACCTAGAGATTTAATTCTGTTAATCAAAATACTCTTAAAATTATCATGATAAAAAATTCCACATACAGTTTGCATATCAAAAGTTATCATTTTACCCATTCTCTGCATGGCTTCTTGTGCTAAATGAATATAAATTACAAGCATTTGAAAATGAAATGCTGCAGCAAATATTCATTCCCAATCGTTACAGAACTCAGTGGCTTAATGCTCTTCTCATATTAATGATAAGGTGGTTGTGTCAAGTTGTGCTTCATAAGGTTGGGAAAATGAGATGTGGCTGGATCTTTTGGAAGGCACCCATCTGAAATATCAGCAAGGAGATAGGATATTATAGTGGATCTAGAGAAATAGCATGTGAGATATTTATTGAACTATCCTAGGAGTAGGGTGGAACCACAGACTTTGGTGCTAATGGTGTTGAAATTTAAGATTATATTTGCAGAGTTGTATTCTTTAATATATTTTCTATAATAAATGATTGCTAAAAAACTGTGAAGTACAGACATATGTGACATTAATTGGCAGGTCATGTTGGTGCCACCTGGATATGCTGACTATAGCAGCTACTTCTCTGAAGTTCTGAGCTTCTTACGGGAGTATAGCTGGGTATATAACTTTCCTGTCACAGAGTTACTGGTGCAGGATGTGCTCAAGCAGATTCCCATGGAATGGTCAACAGCACTGCTCAGTCTCACTTATCAGCAGCTCAACATTCTACCTCAGGGCTTCGTAATGGTATAACAAGTTTTGTCTGAGATGTGGACATTTATGTGTCTGTACACTGGTTTTTGTTCTCTTAGAGGTTGTTTTGTGTGGCAAAGCTGGATTGAATTTCTTTTTAAAATTAGATTATTGCGGGGCATGTGGTAGCGTAGCAGGAAAGTCATGGGTTTTTTCAGTTTACCTAATCCTTCGAGCCACACTATGGCCCTGGGGTCAACTCAGCCTCTAACATAAATGAGTACCAGGAATATTCTTGGGGTTAAAGGGTGGCTGGCACATAGGGCTGACAACCTTGCCTCCATCTATGAGCCGATTGTCTAGAACATCTCAACTTCAACATCTCACAACCCTATGGGCCTCAATGGCCTGTTACAGGGATACCTTTACTTTACTTTGTTAGATTATTGCAACATGGAATTAATTCTTATTGAGGATATGCATTGGGGTGTGGGGGGCATAGGTAGAATGCAAAATAAGATGTCTCATAGGTGTGTGTGTTGAGAGGCATGTCACATTCTAAAGCTATCTGTGCCTGTTTAAAGAAATAAACTAAAAATCGGTAACAGCATAATAACAATAAAAAAAAAATTGCATGGTGTTGCCCCCTATATGACCCTGTACAGCTTGGTAAAGACACCAAGATCCTGCGAAATCCACTCCTAACAGGCAGCCAGCTGCCACCCCCTTAAAAATGACATGCATCCCTGAAACACCAGCATGTACATACCTATCAAGCCACATGCTACTCTACGCCAGAAGACCATCATCCCAATAGGATGTGCCATAAGGGGGTCAACTGACAAACACCAGATCAATTCAAAATTGGTCTGGGATTGCCACCAAACCCTCATGGAACTGGCCAAACATAACAGGGTACAACTGATATGGGTGCCAGGGCATGAGGGTATTGCTGGAAATGAAGCAGCAGACCAATTAGCTAAAATTGGAGCTGAACATCCGTTCATAGGACATGACCCAGCCTGTGGCATCTCTCTAGAAGTTGCCAAACAGGCAATCAGGGAGTGGACTAACATAAAACATAAGAAATACTGGGAATCCTTAACTGGACTCAGGCAAGCTAAGGGACTCATACAAGGACCTTCTGATAAAAGAGCAAAGGAACTGTTGAAGCTCAACAGGAACCAGCTATGATGGGTGGTAGGACTACTTACAGGACACTGTAACCTCAAAGGACGCCGGTTCAAACTGGGCCTAAGTGATAGTCCCACTTGTGAGGTGTCAGATAGAAAATGAAACAGTCACACACGTCCTGTGTGAATGTGAGGCTCTAGCTTCTTTAAGACTATGACACTTGGGTCAGTACTTTATGGAACCAAGTGACTATTTCGACGCCCCCACGTCCAAAATCCTGCGCTTCATCCGAAGCGTGGGGTTGCTGAGGGAATAATTAAAAAGGGGAAGCACAATGGACCACTGAGGTCTAAGTGCAAGAGCCGAGTAGGCCTACCCCTTCATACATACATACATACATACATACAAGGGGGTCAAGGATAACATTCAGTAAACATTTCCAGATGTTATTAAAGTTGGGCTAAAATATACTTACACATTAATTGAAAGTTAAATGGTGTAAAAAATTGCAAGCTGTATAGGCATCTGTTGCAAAATTTCTAAAATATCATGAAGAAAACATGGGGTAGAATTATAAGGTTAAAAATTAATAATGATCTTTAAACGTGGATTGAATAGGCTTTGAGAATCCACTGGTGTTTACAAAGGCCACAACACTTCACATGCTACAGCACTCGTCTTCAAGAATATCTTGCAGTGTGCAGTGAAGGTAAAATGTATGTTATTCATAAAATGGCCATTTAGTAAGAATATGTACAGTACTATGATAAGTATGTTTATCACATTTCTCAAGAATACTCAAAGTAAAAACTAAAGCTATCCCCATAACAGGCCATTATGGAGGCCCATAGGGTTGTGAGACATTGAGGGGCCCACATTATCTAGACAATAGGCTGAAAGATGGTGGTAAGGTTGTCAGCCTTACGCACCGGCCATGCTTTAGGCTAGGAACACACACTGTGACATCTGTCATACGGAAAAATGTCATATGACCTCCTTTTCACACTAGAGTGACCAAATGCATTTCTTTGCTCTCCAACTGCCGTACGGTAGATATCACATGTCGTCACGTATGAAAGCTAAGACTACACTTTATATTGTACTACTTGATGCAACCTGAACTGTACGACCGATGGTACTGTGTGTGTTCCTAGCCTTACTCCCCAGGAAAATTATTTAATTAATTCCTGTTACTCGTTTCTGTTAGAAGCTGAGTTAACCCCAGGGCCATAGTGTGGCTGGAAGGATTAGGTAAATTGAAAAAAATCCAATGACCTCATCAGGACTTGAACCTGCAACCTTCTGGCTTGTAGCATAGCCCCTCAACCAAATACGCTACAGTACCAAAAATATATATATAACACACTTTTTATTCTTGAATGTTTAATGAGGCAGGCAGAAGAGTATACTCTGGTGAAGATGATCATTTAAAGTTTCTGTTTCACCAATTGCTTATGGTTTGAATGTCAAATGTAAGCAAAATCTTCTTACTATTGCTACCAGAATGTATGTAGTTGTAACCTCATCATATTGTAATGTGTATTTTCACTTTGATCCATACAAAACCATTTGATGTTGGCTTCTATCCACGTAACTCTGATTCTGCCATTTATGCTTGCGGAGGCTGCATTCAGTGCTTTGTCAATGCAGAGTAATAAAGGTAAAATTATCCCTGTAATAGATCGTGGAGGCACACAGGGTTGTGAGATGTTGAGACTCCAACATTTTCTAGACAGTCAACTCACACATGGCTGTGAGATTGCCAGCCTTATGCACCATCCGCTTTTTACCCCCAGGAAGATTTGTGGTACTAATTTCTGTTAGAGGCTGAGTGAGCCCCAGGGCCCCATAGTGCAGCTGAAGGGGTTAGGTTAATTGAAAAATCCAATGACCTCATCGGGAATCGAACAAACTTGTAACATAGTGCTTCAACCCAGTACACTACCTTGTGCCCCCAATGCAGAGTGTATAGTAATTTGAATATGTATTCACACAGGATGACTGGCCTCCATCACTTATTCACTTCTGTCATCAGTGCCAGATGCTTAAGATTCCTACACAAAGAGTCATCGAGCACAGACCAGAGCTCCCAGATAAAATACGTCGAGGGTTGACACCTAAGAAGCAGCATGAGATTGTGAGCTTGGCAGCTCTGATTAGTGCAGAATGTAGTGCTTATGGGATCACTCAAGTACTGGATATGGGAGCAGGTCTTGTGAGTATTGGTCAGATGGCACACATTTTTTTCTTAGAGGACTCAGTTCAGTCAGTAAAGTGACAGTATACTAAATGGACAACAGCCAGGAATGTATTTCATGCAGAATTTTTTTGAATTCTGTCTTCAGCTTCATATTCAGTCTTCTAGTAACCTGGCTGTAGAGTATGGGGCACCCATAATGTAAAGTTCACCACTCATTCCTATCTAGTGCAGGGGTTAAGAATATGGGTCACTTTATTTGCATACATCCAGTTTCATTCCTTTATAGCATGATGTTACACACAGAAACAATTTACCATACCATTTATTGTTATTGTTACTACTATTTGACAGATATAAGAGAAGCAAGAAGTTCTGGGAAGAACTAATTGCTTACTTTCCTTAGATACAACATAGATAAATTAAGGGAATACACAGCAAGGTGATCTCATAAGTCTATCTAAAAAAGCTTAAAACTGATTTGGGAGAGAAATACTGTATGTCTTCCCAACTAAACTTTGAATTTCCAAGAAACTTGTATTAATTCAAATGTACACACAATCTGTAGTAAGAGTTCTTACAGGTAAACATTTACCCCATTTCCAGTTCTTAATGGACTAACAAGTGATACATTATTTACACTGGTTCTTGACTTTCCTCTGGAGTATGTTGAAAGTCCAAAGGAATAAGTAACAGCTGGAAGGCGCAGGTGTGAGGGTGTTAACTATATTTGTCAGTGATTTCTGGGCGTTCAAATAAATGTAACATGAATGGATGAAACATGCAGCATCTGCTGGTCACGTGTAATGTTTCTCACGTTGCAGTATAATCACAATTTGTTGTTAACACTGGTAGGGTTACCTGGGTCAGCTGCTTCACCACTGTTATGGCTTCCATGTTCTTGGACTGGAGGTGGAGGCTGAACGTGTGAAGACGGCATCTCGTCGTCAAGAAAGTATGTGTCCATCGTCAGCAGTGAAGTACCTTACTTTCAGCATCTCGTCTGAATCTTGCCACTTTATTGAGAATGAAATACAGAACAGTATGCGTGGAATTAGCAACTGCAAGTGTGGGGCTTTGAAGATCCAGTCACATGAGTATGGAATTATGAATAAGTGGCATTCACCAGATGTGTGCATTGGTGGTGGTGAGCAGTGTTCTGTAGATATGTCAGATTATAATTCTGAAGTGGTAAATGGAAGTACTTATGTGTGTTCAAAAGAACCCGCTGATGAAGAGAGGATGTTCTCACCGTCCTTGGGTTCAGATAATTGTTTGCTTGGTCCAAGCACCACATCATTGTGCATGACTGGACTGCACACATGTGGAGATCTCAGTGTGGATGCTATTAGACTTTTCTTTCAACTTGTCTCTACCAAGCTGTTAGTTATGGTTCCCTGCTGCTACCACAAAATGAGTTTGACCAAGGACACAGCCATGACAGAGGAGAAGTTCTTTAACTTCCCATTAAGTTCATCACTGTGTCATCTCATACATTCTTCTACATTCTGTGATTCTTCACGTTTTCTCCGCCGTCCATTTCTGAGACTCGCATCCCAAGAGACTGCAACCAGGTGGCAGCAGTGGTCAGAAGAAGACCACAAAGAACACAGCCTTCAAGTGATGGCACGTGCTGTCCTCCAACTCTATGCTCATGATGGTACGCAAGCATGACATAAGTTTCCTAAAAAGTTTTCCATCAAAAGTCACTACTGGCCCTTATTCAGAGCCAGCTGAATCCATTCTGCTTTACTGCTGTTGACCTTCCTGAAGTCCATTTTCAAATTTTATGCTGTCTTACACTTTCATCTTCCTAATGATCTTTATCCATATTTTCCTATGAATAATGTATGTATATTTCTTGTGTTTTTCCATGCATTATACACGTTCAGTATGGATTAACTTAAGCTGCCTTTAATGTAAAAAATCAGTCATTATTTTACTTAATTTGTGGGTTTCATTGTCATTACAGAAGATCTGGTTCTGAAGAAGAAATGTCGCCGTGCTGTACGGAAGACCAGCCGTTCAACATTTGACAGCTTTATGGATGATGCCTTGAAGCGTTACAGATTTGTTTCTAAGACAAGTGAAAATCATTACGATCATTCAACAAGTCTTTGCAAAGTGTCAGAGCTATGGAATCACCACAAAGCATCATGCCATCTGGCTGAAATTGTGACAGGTCTACAAATGGCTGTTCAGGGTGTTGCTGAGAGCTTCATATTAGCAGACCGAGCCGCATATTTGCAGGAACATGCTGTGCCATCTGTTGAGATAGTTAAAGTAATGAATGATTGTGTGTCTCCACGATGCCTTGCTCTAGTAGCCAGAAAGTGAATATGTATGTGTCAGTTTTCAGGGCCATCATATTAGGCAAGGTAAAGCTATCCCTGTAACAGGCCATGGAGGCCCATAGGGTTGTGAGAGGTGGAGGCTCTCATATTTTCTAGACATTCAGTTCACAGATGGTGGTTAGGTTCTCAGCTTTACGCGCTTCCTACCCTTTACCCCCCAGGAAGATTCCTGGTACTCATTTCTGTTAGAGGCTGAGTCGACTCCAGGGCCATAGTGTGGCTAGAAGGATTAGTTCAGTTGAACAATCCAATGACCTCATCAGGATATTAGTAATTTGAAAATTCTTTTAACTTCATTCCCTTTTATATTTGATAAAAGTTATAACAATTGAATTTCTGGGAGAAGAATGAGTTCTATTTGAACTCAGATTTTTACAGTAGCAGCTCTGTAATAAAAATTTCCAAGGTGGTGGATAATGAATGTGTTTTCAGATTCTGTATGCAACACAAATGTACAAGAATAATTACATGACCACACTTTAACCCTTACATCTTCATTGTCATGGAAGCCATGACATTACAGATTTAAGGATTTCATTATCTCAGTTCCTAACAGTAATTTCAGCAACTTCTCCCTTTCTAATTGTGTTCAGACAGTGATGCTGAATTATATATTAATACTGCAGGATTTGAGGTTCTCATAGCGGTGGCTATGAAGAGTTCTGTCTTCTGGGATATGTCAGGTAGTCCATTGAAAGTCAGCTGATGTTTTGGAAGAACATGAAGCTGGGCTTTGTGTATTGTCTGCTTCCTGTTTATATTTTGCTTAGCATGAATATGGAGGCTACATGTTCCTCTGAAATGCTGGTTGACTTTCAACAGACTACATAACATTATATCCCAGAAGATAGAACTTTTTGTATATTAATACTATTTCATGATCTGTGTGACTCTGAATAAAAAATGAAAGGAAGCAGTTTGCAGTGCATAAAATACATCAGAGCTTGCAGGTGTAATTTAGTTTTGATGTGTAAAGACTGAACACTCATTATAATGAAAATTATATATATGTTTTTTATTTATTAATTATAGACTGGGTAACCCAAAGCTGAATTACAATTAAAACTAGTTGGATAACTAACAATTAATTTTTTCTAAACCTAATATACTACGTAAATTAAAACTAAGTCACTTCCACTGAATTACTTAGTACTTTAACAATTAACTAGTTCAAACGGTTTGTTCTGTTTGAGTCATCTAATTATATTGTTCATGTTGAGAAGTCTGGACGCTTCAATGTTGACGTGGTTTTGGAGTCTCTTTTCATGAGGTGGCAGACTTGGCGATGATATCTGTAACCATCCTGATCCCAAGGTCATGATGGTCAGTGTTACGAACGTACCATGGTGTGTCGACGATACACTTTAGCAATTTGTTCTGATAGCGATGAATCACTTGAATACTGGATTCACTGGTGCAGCCCCAGAGCTGGATACCATAACTGCAAACTGGACGCAGAGTTTGTTTGTATAATGTAAGTTTATTGCGGATTGATAGCTCAGAATTGCGTCCAAGCAACCAGTACATTTTTCTGAACTTATTGTTGAGCTCATCATGTTTTCTCTTGATATGCTCTTTCCACTGTAACTTGGCATCTAGAGTTATTCCAAGATATTTCGTTGTGTTGGCATATGGAACTTGAGTGCCATGGATGAAGATTGATTGTTGTGCATTCCTCTTGTTTGTAAAGTCAATATGTACTGATTTGGATTTGTTGAGTTTAATTCACCATTTTTTTGTCCAGAGGGCAACTTTGTAGATTTCTAGTTTCTCTCCTACTGCCATGACTGCTGTATCATCTGCAAATGTGGCTATAGTACTGTTCAATGTAGTTGGCACATCATTAATATAAAGTAGATATAGGACTGGCCCCAATACACTTCCCTGTGGGACACCAGCCTTGAGTTGAGCTTTCAACAGTCTCTCCTACTGTCATGACTGCTGTATCATCTGCAAACGTGGCTATAGCACTGTTCAATGTAGCTGGCACATCATTAATATAAAGTAGATATAGGACTGGCCCCAATACACTTCCCTGTGGGACACCAGCCTTGAGTTGAGCTTTCAACAGTCTCTCCTACTGTCATGACTGCTGTATCATCTGCAAACGTGGCTATAGCACTGTTCAATGTAGCTGGCACATCATTAATATAAAGTAGATATAGGACTGGCCCCAATACACTTCCTTGTGGGACACCAGCCTTGATTATCTTCAGTTCTGAGTACGAGTCTTCATGTGTGACGTGGAAATACCGATTGGTTAAATAAGATTTTAGGAGTTGATAGAAATGATCGGGTAGAATTGATCTCAATTTGTGAAGTAGGCCTTTATGCCATACTTTATCAAAAGCTTGTGCAATGTCAAGAAAGACAGCAGAGCACACTCCTTTGTTTTCAAGCGTTTTTTCAATGACGTCAGTGATATGATGCACCTGGTCAATTGTCGAATGATTTTTTTCTAAAGCCAAACTGATGTCTTGGCACTAGGTGTTTCTCTTCAAAGGTGGGTTTAAGACATTTAAGCATCAGTTTCTCAAATAACCTAGACATAATCGGCAGTAATGAAATTGGTCAATATGATTCCACTTCACTTAGATTCTTACCAGGATTTGGGATCATGATTACTTCAGCAGTTTTCCATGCATTTGGGACATGATTTAGTCGAATGCAAGCATTGATTAATGTGGTCAATTTGACAAAGGCTTTTCTTTTAATGTTCTTGAGAATTTCACCTGTGATAAGATCAAATACAGGTGCTTTTTTCGGATTGAGATTAGTTCTTATTTCTTCGGCAGCTTCTTTAGGAGTAACCAGTGGAATCTTGAATTATGTATATGATAATTTATTTATAATTTCTATTTAATGGTATTGCATTTGTGGTCTATTAATGTATATTACGTGATCTGACGATAAAGTTAATTTATTGCTGCATAATTTCTATTTAATGGTATTACATCTGTGGTCTATTAATGCATAATACATGGTCTGACAATAAAGTTCACGAACTCATCACGGTAGAAGTACTTTCCTTATTGCCGAATATCACTGTGATCCCCTCCAAAGTACTCCCCCCAGGAAGCTATGCACCGATGCCAGCTCATAATCCACCCTTCAAAACAATTTTGGAACTGGTTTTGTGGAATGGCCTTCAGAGCTGCCATCATATTACTTCTAACGCCATCAAAATGCCATCCTTTCAATATTTCCTTAATTTTCAGGAACAGAAAAGTCATTTGGGGCTAGATCTGATGAATAGGGAGGATGTTCCAGCAGAGTTGTTTACTATCTAAAAGCCCCTTCACAGACGGTGCTTTAATTCAAGTGCTGACATTCTTGCGACGACATACCAAAACATACTTGGATGCCACTCAGAAAGAGACTGCCATAGATCATCATCAACAACAACAACAACAACAACAACACCACACCTGTGAAAGGCTGATATGCCAATGTCATCAAACCACACTGAGGTTTCAGTCCACTGCTGCCATAGCAAGCACACGATGAGTTTGCAAACTTTATTGTCACACCTCGAGTGGCAGACTTGTCATATATGTTATGATTCTGAATGTTCACATTCATTTTGCTTGGAGAGCTTTCAGTTGCACAACTTCCAAACTGTGTAACAGTACTCCAAAATTATTTTCTTGCACATGAGTCAGAATCTCATTGTGTGGGAATACAAACTTAACACCTCAGTGAAAGCACACCATTCATTACACATCTAACACAAATAATGCTTAACTATCTGTTTCAAAATTACTTGATCACAGATCATAGGTTCAAATGTGTCTGGAAGAACTGTTAACAAATTTCAGCTGTAGAACCTTCTCGTAGACATTTTAAAGTGGAATTCACTATGTTCATCTTCAGAGCAGTAGTAGTGTGCACGCACACAAATGTGTACACATAAAACACACTTGCAGATATACATACAAATGCCAGTCAGTTGACCTTGTGTGAGTTACTATAAAAGAAATGAGACACTTTCAACGTTTTATAGAAAACAAAGTATTATTGGAGCATGTCCTTGTCAACAAAACAGCTGTTGTGATGCATTGCTTTAAATCATTTACATTTACAGGAAGTGGAGCAACAAAAACACTGTCTTTGACACATCCCACAAGAAAACGTAAGGCGTTAGATCCAGACTTCTTGGTGGCCAACCTGTCAGTGCCATGTTCTGGTCTGTTTGGAACAATTTAGTTTATTGTATTGATAAGTCACACGAGAAAAGGCTCACACATCGAACATTTGTAACTCAGTCATACAAATTTAAAGACATATACTAAAGAAACCATATAAGTATTTTGGCTATATCAGTAATACTTTGGTTTCTACAAAACATTGAAAAAGTTGTTCAGTCTAGCTCACTTCATATCTACTCTGAAGGTAATCAGTTTCAGTGAATCAAAATATAATTTAGAAATGAAAGATGTCTCTTTCTGCTTTGATTACTCAGTGGGTGGAAAGAACTTCGATGTGACAAAATATTGGGCAGTATTTGATAGTCTGCATGAAGTGGCATATACAAACAGTCCAGTCCATCATTAGTGAATATGGTTTTACTATTCACTATCACCCCTTGTGACCATTGTAACAGGAAGAATTTGCATATGAACAGACAGTTCACACTGATGCCAGACTTTAATTGGCCAGCAGTATCAATCATCTTTCTATCCATTTTTTGTTCTACACTTCCATCATCTCCAAAGTATATGTATGTTGCTATCTCATCACCAAAATGCAGGGTAAAATAATGAAAGATAGGTAACAGATGTTTTGAAAATGTGGCATAGTTAAAATATTTGGGAATGACTTTAACAAATCAAAACCGGATTCAGGAGGAAATTAAGAGGAGACTGAACTTGGGTAATGCTTGCTACCATTCAGTCCAGAACCTTTTGTCACATAAAAATTAGAATATACAGAACTATAATTTTGCCTGTGGTTCTGTATGAGTGTGAAACCTGGTTTCTGACATTAAGGGAGGAACATAGACCAAGGGTGCTGAGAATATTTGGACCCAAGAGAGATAAAGTGACAGGAGGTTGGAGAAAACTGCAAAATGAGGACCTTCATTACTTTTACGCTTCTCCAAGCATAATTATAATGATCAAGTCAAGGAGGATGAGATAGGCAGGGCATGTGGCACAAATGGGGATGAGGAGGAATGCATATAGGATAATGGCGGGAAAGCTGGAAGGTAGGAGACCACTGGGAAGACCAAGATTGGACTGATCTGGCTCAGGATAGGGACCAGTGGAGGGCCCTTGTGAATGCGGTAATGAACCTTCTGGTTCCATAAAATTCTGGGAAGTTCTTGAGTGGCTGCACAATTGGCAGCTTCTCAAGAAGGGCTCAGTTCCATGAGTGAGTGACCTCCATCATCTCCAGCAACTTGCAAAACCATTTAACTTTCATAGTAGTCCACTATATTTTCCATTCATGCTATTATTTGAAATATAATGCTACTTTCATTACAAACAGCAAATCGTTTTATGAAAACACAGGCACATTATTTCTCTCATATGCTATTAATTTTGGTAATCACAATTTTTTAGGAACATAAACCCTGTATTCTGTACAAATTAACTATATACAGTTTTATGTATGAGTCAAAATTACAATTTCATAACATATTCCATCTTCATAACAGTGTATTACAGTTCATAAATTTGCAGAACATGGACCATATGTTCTTAAGGCTAACCATGTCATGAAAGGCTACTCACAAATGGAAAATACAGTCTGCAGAAATGGTTATCACGTAACCATACATGGAAAGTTTATCTTGTCTACTAACATAACACCTCCTTGTAGCTAAGGAAGATACAGGGCACCAACATCACATTACAAGGACAGTTTGCCCCTCCTGATAATATATACTAAACTCATGAAAGGATTTAGTTTGCTTGACAAACACACAGGTACGCTTTCCTTGAAAAAGCACAACTACATGATTAATGTAGGCTCAAAAACATTCCAGATTTTCTGTGCCCGCTTGCATTTCATCAGCTTCTATCATTTACACATCACAGTTCACAGACAGGTCATTAATTCATCTTGCATACGGATGCATTTGCGGTGCTGCTTTGATGTTAGTTTTGATTGCACTTGGTGCTTTGCCCATAGGACCCACTGTGAAAACAACACAAACATTGCTAATTCAATCACTAATTAAGAGTCCTGTCAACATATTAAAAAACTGAATTTCCAGTCTTACTTTATTTATAAGGACTGATGGTTATGCTGTACAAAAATCAAAACGCCTTCATTATTTCATCCCTGATCCGAGTTTTATGGATCGCAGTTCTGTGGCTATACTACCAGTGTTCACAATTACTTCTTTTCTTTTCTACCAGACAGAGCATCAAGGAGGAGATATTTTATTGCCATTCATTTCCAAATTTTCTGCGATCACTTATCATTGGAAAGTATGCAACTTAGTAAGATAATTTTTATTAAAATAAGTTCATAGTAACTACAAAAATATATGAATGTTCTTTCTGATTTACTGAAGATGCTCGAGAGTACTCTACTTATCATTTAATTTACTGTCATACACCTGTTAATTAGTTTATGGTAACAGTTAATTCATAAAAATATTAATTGATATAAAGCCTCATGATGATACTGAAGGATCGTAAATGATCATAACTGAAGACAGGATGAATACAGATCCCATATCAGCCGCAACATCTTTCAAAATGAGTACAGGTCTGAAATGAGTGACTTTACAATAAGTAGGCAAGACTATGAAATGAAAATGATACGTACTTTGCCCAGGTTGGTTTGGGTTCATAGGACCACTTCCAGGCTGCTGTGGGCCACCAGCACCTGGGCGACCCACTGGAGCCACCATCATTCCTTGTGCACCTGATGGACCGGGCTGCTGCACCATAGGCTGCAACTGAGAATTTCATATAGCTACAAATAATACAGTCAATTCTGTGTTTGAAATATTGTACTGATAGCTTCTATCACAAGTCGTACAAGAAAGGTCCACAATTTGGGGGTCAAATTAATGAAAAATTAAGATTTATAAAATCTGTCTTACTCTCTTTCCAACTTCCTCTAGGCACATACAGAATTTATTTTTAATCTGAAATTAAATAAAATTAATTTGACAAATACAGTGCTGCTCAGCCAGGAATGACAGATGATTCTTGCATCAACTTGAGATGTCCACATCTGTATGGGTAGTGGATCAGATAATCTAAAAGCCTAATACATATTAAAATTTCTCTTCAATAGTGGCCAACAAAGTTATTCAACAATCACTGTGAAGGTGAAGTTAGATTTAACAAATGCAGTGTAATTGCGCAGTCAGGAGAGACAGATGATCCTTGTGTCAACTCAAGACACACAGACTGGCATGGGTAGCAGATTTGAGAAACCAGAAGCCTACATATTGTAGCATGTAGACTTGTTGCTAAGTAAGGATTCTCTAAACAATGACCATTTCTAGGTAAGCACACAACCAATTCCTGACACACACCAATGAATTAACTGGGAACCAGTGTTCTCTTTGCAGTCCTTCTGACAGCTACATGACACAACAATAGAAGAGCAGTTGGAAGGTGCTTTCTGTGTGGTCTGTGCCAAGGTGTTATAAGCAGGCCAAGTATAGAGTTTAGTTAGTTGTGAGACAGTCGTTAGCCAGTAAGGATGTGAATACGGAAGTTGCAGGATCTACGAAATTGGAAGCTGTTACGAGACGACTGGTGAAGACACAGCAGACTGAGAGGACTTAGTATATGCTGTGGTGAACTGCTGAGTGTGAATTAGTGATAGCACTGTGCTTACTTATACTTACAATCCGTAGGTGTTCAGTGGGTCCAATTACCAATCCAAACCCCATCTACAGCCACTACATCATGTGATAGTATGTTAAAATTTGCCTTAAACAGTATCCCCCAATATCACTAAACAGCTAGTGTGAAGGTGAAGCAAGCATATGTGTTATGTGCTGAAAGACTACTCTTCTTATATGGTTACAATTTTAGGGTTTTCGTGGTCATTCATGACAATGTTTTTGAAACCCTGGTTTTATATGCAAAGGCCTGAGATACTTTCAGGGAGCATGTCTGACCCCAGTATTGATTTCATTCAATTATTCTTTAGTGAGCAATTAATGTTTGGTCCAATAACAAATAAGTATGTTGCAATTTATAAACAGTTATATGGATAATTCTTATATTTGGAACTGCAACAACCTGAAACTTACCAGTGATTTATTGGAATGACATGGATATGAAACAAGTCAAGGTTAAATAGTAAAAAAGTAAAGTAAAGCTATCCCTGTAACAGGCCATGAAGGCCCACAGGGTTGTGAGACGTTAAGTATATCACATTTTTAAAATCAGTTCAGCATAAAACAGAAATCACTAAGAGTATACGTGATCCATGCTGACAGATGTGCAGACAAAACAAACAAACTCTGTGGCTTGGGTCCACAAGCAAACTATACTGACTGAGTGACTGCTGCTTGTCGGCGAAGTTAGTGCCAACTTTAGCAGATAGAGGGTGTCACATGGTCAGGGCAACGAATCCCCACAGCCTTTAATTTCGGTTTTCTACCTGGAGCTGCTATTTCCTTGAAATAGCTCCTCAATTTTCCTCACAAGGCTGAGTGGACCCCATTCCAGACCCACTTCTTCTCAGAAAATCTGCCAGCACTGGGAACTGAAACCGGGACCTCTGGATCTGTAGCCAGGAACTCTGACCACTTGACCACAGAGGCAGTTGTGATGTGCAGACACAGTATCCAAAGGTCATCCAGAAGTAATGCATAGCTAATGATGGTACCAATGAAAACAAAGTGCTGCAATTTTGAGAGATCTTAAGTCCTGACAGCAGTGATTATGAGCAGTGTATTTTGGGATCTGACTCCGTGCAGTCTGATAATACAGATATTTCAGAGGAATGTACTACCTACATTTTCTTGCTTGGTCAGTTAACTCTTCACTCATGAAGATGGAGGAGTATGTTAGTCTGGTAAGTTAGTAAACCTTTATCACACTGCATGGCGTAACATCCCAGGAGGCAATACTCTTCAAAGAATTGGTAGAGTGCCTTGTAACACAGTTCACTACTGAAAGAGCTAAATATAGTGAGCTTACCTTCAGTCCCTTCCCCATTCCAACTGCTGCCACTAGTGCATGTGTGTCTGACACTGATGAGGTCTGAGTTGCTGCAGACCTTGACCCAGACTCACTCTCCCACTCTTCACGAGCCTTGCTCACAATATCCCACACATGATTCACAACTTTGCTGTAAGCTGTAACCTGCTTCTAAAGCAATACAACATTGGGCCAACGTAAAAAATAAAGACAATTCTAGTTCATTATTAATTAAATGTTTGACTATTACTATTTTACATAAAAAAGTTTATGTAACTACATGTGAAAGGTTTCCAGTTTGAGAGATCCAATGTCATCTTTATTCTCCTGCATATACTAATACATACTTGGGCTGACTCATATGCAAGGTTGGCTGCCTTATGTTCCATCTGAATCATCTGACGTTCCACATCCGGTTCAGGTTTTGTGCGCAGATAGTCAGGTACAAGATCATGAGAAAATGTAGGAACACGTCCTTCTGTAAGCCGAAGCAATTCTTCATCTCTGTCAGGACTTAGAAGGAGGGGCAACACTGTCAGATTGCGCAGGGGAGGTGACTTATCATGACTCAGCATCTTGGATAATGTTGTCAGCTGTGAATGTGGAAATTATGACAGCTGTGGCTATTTATATTACAATAATAGAAATATGAAAAAGGTGATATATAACTTACATGTCCAGACATCAAGGCAAAATTATCAAGAAATGACGGCCAGTTTAAAGTCTCATATTCATGCTCAAGTTTCACAAGCATTGATCCGATTGAATTTTTTAGATCGTTAACGCGCATAATTATTGCTTCCAATGCAGCGTCTTGCTGCTTTTCTTCTCTCTGCATTTTGAGAGCTTATTCTGAAAGCATCAAAACAGAACATCATTTAGTTTATGTAATGTTATATTGGCTACACAATTACGCACATTACAAACAAGAAAAACGCGAACCAACAACAAAGAGACAACTAATTCTACTGTTGCAGCTTGCATCCCTAACCTAACTTCATAGCACATTATCACTGTAGGTCGCGGTGCAAGAGCCGAGAAGGCCCACGAATTATACATTCAATACGCACCTATTCANCCCCCCCCCCCGCGATTCTTCATATATGTCTTAACTTAAATCTGGGAGTATACTACTATTACTTTGCACATTTAATTACTTTTCTTTTCTTATATATCTATTTTTAAATAAATAAAGCAATGCTGTTTATGAAGTAACAGACGCCTTACAAAAACTTTTACTTCTTACTTTAAATGTTTCCCCTCCTTATCTAACAGCGACCCGGCGGTCCCGACGACCGTCCAAAGCAGGGGTATGCCACTCCTTGCTATTGGCGGGCAACACAGCCACTGCTGCCGCGGTGGACAGCTGCAATTCTCGTAACAAAAAAATGCTGCAGCCAGTGCCGAGGGCTCGGTCGGTAAGAAGGTATGCTATCATATCACCTGCCCTGTCGGTAAGAAAGTATGCTATTATACCACCAGCATTTTTTTTACTGCTCCCTCCCAAAAAATCGCTGGTTCACACATATAGCTAGAATTAATAATTGATGTAAATGAAATGTTCTTATTTTACAGGCACTGGTGAGAAACTTTCTCCCAATAAATAATGTTGCAACCTGATATCTTGTACTGCAGAGGTTCTTACTCCGTTGTGTGTTTTCTGTTTTCGAACTGAGTTTAATATCACTTCACTCAAAACCATCTGAAGGGGAATGAGTTAAATGATATTAAACTCAGTTTGAAAACAGAAAACACACAACGGAGTAAGAACCTCTGCAGTACAAGATATCAGGTTGCAACATTATTTATTGGGAGAAAGTTTCTCACCAGTGCCTGTAAAATAAGAACATTTCATTTACATCAAT